GCGTTTATTCCCGCGGGCGAGGGCGGCGGTGCTCCGCGCGGCGGACGTGGCGTCGTCGTTCGTCGTGACCGACGCGGCCGGCGGCCCAGCCGAGCCGCCCCCCCCCCCGCCGCCTCGGCCGGCCCCGCGGCGAGCGGCCGCCGCGCCAGTGGGGCGCAAGGGGCGAGGGCCAGCAAAAGTGCCCGGCGCGCCGCGCAGGTCGAGCTGGGGCCGACCCGAGGCGTGCGAAGATCGACGGGGGGCACCGCGTAGGCGCGACGGCGCAGCACGACGCGAACGCCCGAGCGGCTGCACCTCGAGGTTTCCGACCTCGCCAGCCGCCAGCCGCCCAGGGGCCCGCTGTGGCGCGGGCGCGCGGAGCTTCGCGACCCGACCATCCAGTCGATCAGTCAGCGCCGCCGCAACCGCTATTCCCCGCGGCTGATGTCCAACTGACTGCGCGTGGACATCTTTCGCCCGCTGAAGGGGTCGCGAGCAGCTCTGGCAGCTCGGCGAGGCCAGGGGGTCGACGCATGCGCTGAGGCCAGCTCTGATGAGACTGGCTGGGCGGCCTTCGACACGCCCCGCGGCTCCTGCGCTCGCCGCATCAAGAGGTCGGGCGGCGCTCGATTCGGCGAGTGCGCGTGCGCTTCTGGCGCGCGCCGTCGAAAGCGACTCGCGGAGCTGCAGCCCCAGGCTGGCGCCCCAGCCTTCGCCATGGCGCTGCTGAAGGAGATGTGCGCCACTGGCAATGTGCGTCGCATGTGGGCGCGGCCCAGCCCCGAGTGTTTCGCTCTTCTGAGACCGGCGAGGCATGTTGCAATGGGAAATTCTGGGCATGGGCGAAACGATTGCGGTGCATCTGGTTGATGAGGCAAAGCGGTGGGGCGTGCTACAGATCATCAAGAGCAAGACGGCGATGGGCATCATCCAGGGCATCGCGGACCACCAGATCAGGCCCCGCGGCCCCGTGTGGATGCTGATCGCCGATATGGAATTAGGTCTACGCAGTGAGGAGGCACTTCAGTGGTTCGACCGCTGGAGCATTGAGACGAAGTCCAACGAGGATAGATTGCGCGCGCAGCCCGTGGAGAGGCACTGCGACAACGCATGCAGGTCGACCTACAGGGCACTGGAGCAGCTGGCCGACGAGCGCATCGCTCTTCCCCTCGACGTCGTCGTCGTCTCTGAGTCCTCGCTCATCAAGAACATCTCGATCAGCGTGGCTGGCTTCAACCCCTGCCAGGCAGTTCGCGGCTGAGTGCCGCCGCTGCTCGCGGGGCCCGTGATGGTGAGTGCTTGTCAGGTGGTCACCGCGAGGATTCCAGGCAATTGCACGATGCCATCATCGTCTGCGAGAGGTGGCGACGCAGGTGGCGATCGAGATGGCGGCGCAGGACTGGCTACGACGAGCCATGCAGGCCAAGACGCCATAGCCGCAGGAGGCGCTGCAGCGGTATGGCGGCGATCAGGTGGACTTGTACAGACCGCCGAGGACGTCGGAGGAGTTGGGCTGGCGGGGCCTGGCGACGGCGGTGCAAGTCGGACCGCAGGCGCTGCTCGAGTGGCAGAGCCGGGCAAGGCTGCGTCGAACGCAGGATTTGCGGTGCAGCCCAGTGCATGGTGATGTTCACGACGGTTTTTGTCTGCTCTCGGGGCTCCGCTGACGCCGTGAATTCCGTCATGAGCTACGCCGACCGGATCGATATTAAAGCCATCGGGGTTCGTTGGCCTTTCGACGGCTTCTGGAAGCGGGCGCAGGCCAACGAGAAATTGAAGGAGTTACCACCGGCCGTGCTCCGCGTGGCCGCGCACGGGTTGCACCTGCATAGGCGCGTCGGCGCTCGGGTCGACAGTGGCGCGTGGATCTTGGAGGCCATGGTCGGGTGCGACCGCGGCTTTTTCTGGTGGTGGACGCGCGGGAAGCCGAAAGCTGTCCAGTTATCGTGAGACAGCGGGCTCGACACGACTGTGTCTAGTCGAGGTCTTCGGCCGCAAGCAGCGGGGGATGACCAGCTTCGCCCAGATTTTCTTCTTCGACCCCGAGGCGGTGCAACGGCAGAGGAGAGCCCGACGCGCCCTATCTCGGCGGCCCTGAGCTGGGACATCTATACTTCAGGCCCAGCGCTTCGGGGTGCCCGAGCCCTGCGCCAGGGCCGCCAGGAGGCGCAGGAGCTCGGAGTGGGGCCAGCGGCGTCGACCTCAGGCAACGGCATGCCGAGCGCGCCCGGCGCGACCAGTGCTAGGTCATCGTCAGCAAGAGGAGCCATTCGCCTGCAGCCGGGCGCCCGTCGGCGGAGAGCGCTCGGAGCCGTAGCGACAGGCGTCGGCGGGGAGGCAGATCAGCTCCACCAGCACTTCAGCCGCCACCTGGACTGCCGCGGCCACCCGCGGACCATAACCAAGCTCATCAGAGGAGAGAGCGCTGGCGAGACATCTCGGAGACGTCAAGACGGCTACGGGCGCGTCGACAGCCGCGGCCACCGCTCTGGCGCTCGCGGTTCCAACTACATCGATCGCCGCTTCTTCGTCGACTGAGGCGGCCACTCTTCGCCGACCCATCCTTCCGATGCGCAAAGACGACAATCAGCTACCCGAAGTGCCCGACGACGAGGACAGCGACGCGACGGTGGAGCACCCGGCACACTTCAACATGGAGCACGTGAAGACGCAGGCGGCAATGCCATTGGACACGGAGGGCGCGCAGAGTGATTTCTTCTTCGCCGCTCCAAACGCGGACGACGTCGCGAGGGTGCTGCCCGAGAGTCTGGCGGCGGCGCAGCACGATGGCGTGGAGATCGCCATCTTGGCGCCCTTGGCGCACTCGTGAACCCTGAGGTGGAGTTCATGAAAGGGCTGCGGCGCGACGTGGTTTCCGTGATCAGGGTCTTTTCGTTGGGCCAACGCGAGAGGTGGTCGAGCGCGAGATGCGCGCGCTGACGCTGGACGAGGCGCGCGAGCACGAGGCCGCAGTGGGGCAGTCCATGAAGCGCGAGCTCCAAGTATGGATCAGCCTCGGAGCCTTCAGGCGCTTCCCGAAGAACCAGGCCAAGAACGTGGTCGACTCGCGCTGGGTGCTTTACGTCAAAGTCGCCAGGTCAAAGCCAGGCTGGTGGTCCGTGGCTTCAAGGATTCGCAGGGCCCAGAGCTCGCCGCGTCTGCTTGTGCCACGAGCAGGTAGGGCCAGCGCGTTGTCAGCGCGGCGGCCCAGCGGAAGTTGCGGTTCTTCTCGGCGGATACCGGCATGGTTTTCTTGCGCGGGCTGACCGTCGAGCAGGCCCCGCTGCCGTGGAAGGCGAGGTCAAGGGCCAGTTGCAATCCGCGACGCCGCCATGCCCAGTGCCAGTTTCAAGCCATGTCGAGAGCCATGGGGACTTCAGTCCAGTCCGATGGCCGCGGTTTTGCTCATGCTGCGATGCGGATTCGGATTTAATGATGCTCCGAGGCTGCGGCAGCTCACGCTGAAGCAGGTGTTCTTGAGGATGGGCGCGAAGCACTTGCTTTGCGATCGCCAGCTGCGCGCGTGCCACGACAGCGTGGGCGAGCATCAGATAGCCCCCTCGGCGCGCGCGGGCGACCGGCAAGATGGCGGCGACGAGGCGTCGCGCGAGAAAGCGCCGTCGGCGCTCGAGCAGGCGCCCCCTGAAGACGTCGCGCGACACCTTGGAGCGCATAGGCGCGGTGCGCGAGCAGGGCCCCAATGCGTCCGAGGCATGGATTCACCAGCGGCACTACGCACGACAATTGCGGTCGTTGAACAGGGACAAATGCGTGATGTTGAAGGGCGATAGGGGGCGGTTTGCATGGGCGCGCAGGCGGCGCGCGTCTCCCTGCGCGGTGGCATCGCGAGACTGGCGCAGACCATGCCGCCCATCGCCGCGGCAGAGGGCGCCCCGAATATCAACCGACTTTCGATTTGGACCAAGGCGAACCTCAGCAGGCTTGGCGTGCGGTTTGCGGCGACAGACCCGCTCGAGACGAGGCTGGCCTTGGTGTCGGATTCTGCGTGCCAGGCCAGGGAGTTCGACGGCTTGGCGATGCGAGGATGATATCTGTTCTTGACGGAGATCGACACCGCCATGCCGATCACTGGCCAGTCTTGCAAACTGGTGGTGCCGGGCTGTTACAGCAAGAAGCAACGCATGTGGTGCGGTCGACCTACGCCGCGGAAGTGCACGCGCGGCTCGATGCTGCGGGCACCGGTTTGCTGTTGAGGATGGTTTTCGCGGAGGCGCATCAAGGCGTGACTTGAGCGGCTCGGATGGCTGAAACGCAGGAGAGCAGTGAGCTCCTACGTGGACGCCTAGACAGTGCTCGACGCGGTGACGGCGGATATCGCGAATGTCGCGCACGAGATTTGCTAGACAAGGGGCACTTGCGGCGAATGTCTGCGTCCATTCAGTGGACATGTGTCGTGGGCGGCTTGACGAAGGGCTCGATCGACTGCGAGGCCCTGATCGAGCTTGGCCTGCCGAGTTGGTGGCCGTTCTTTGGGGTGCAATCGATAGTGCACACGGCTGCGCGCAAGACCGACTAGCCGCGAATGCTGTGGCGCAGAGCACCATATTCCCGACCTGAGTGCGAAGGTGAAGGTAGAAGGTACGCCACGCCAAAAGAGAGTCTGTTGCCTCGCGCAGATCCCGTGGGAAGTGCCGTATGATCCATGCAGCCCGCACAGATCCCAGGGATAATTTCTGTAGCCCCGCGCAGATCCCATGTAAAGCGTCTGGGGGTTCTGCCCAGAGACTGCGCGCATGAAAGTAGAGCGAGAGCGCAGCAGTCAGACGGGTCATGTGCATTCGTCGTGATTCCAAGCTTCATCCCAGAAGTCCAACCATCTCCCGAGCCATCAGGAGGGGAAAAGATCATGGTCAAGTGTTGTCTTCTCGCTCTGCCGCTCACGCCGCCTTCTGCCAGGTCCCAGTCCTCGACTCCCCCGCATCATTCCTCCTCTTCCTCCTCCTCCTCCTCCTCCTCCTCCTCCTCCTCATCCTCATCCTCATCCTCATCCTCCTCCTCTCCTCTTTGCACCGCCCCCTCTCCGTGGAGCCGCCTCGGCTCCTGACGCCCTTGCATGCGGGGGCGCCGCTGGGCAACAAATGGTCTCGTTCCGCGAAGCGCTGGAGCAACTCGGCACCTTGGAGCTGCGTCGCGACGCCGCCACCGCCCAGGAACCCGCCTCGCCTGGCCCCCCCGCGGGCAGACCAGACTCCCCGCTGGACCGCAGGCTCTGGCCCGCACCCTGTGACCTGATCGCCGCCGCCCGGGCCGGCGCGGGCGCGACGCCCGCGCCCGCCAGCCCGCGGGCCCACCACCCGGACGTCCAGCATCTTGGGAAACTTATGGGGCGTTTTCCGCGGTTATTTGTGGTTGACCCAACACAAGGGGTCCAGCGACAAGAGGGTGGTGCAATAGATTTGGTGCAATCGATTTAAGGTGTTGCAATCGATCTGGGGCGTGCAATACATTCCTGTGCGCAAATGTATTGCTGGACTTTCGCATGCAATGCATTAGTTGCAATACCATTCCATACAGTTGTCTGGCGAACTGCATTTGCAATATATTTGCTTCAAACCTCTTGCATTACACCCTTTCAGCTGGACCCCACTTTTGGGTCAACCAAGTGATCGGCCTCCAGAGGCCCTCGCCGAGCCCTGACGGGTCTTTCGAAGGACGGCCCAGCTCAGACAGGGCATGTCTGCAAACGGAAGTCGGAGCTGATTGCTACGTATGGTTGGCGTTTGATCAGGGCGTGGATTTCTGCATGGGCTCCGCGTCGCGAACCATGGAACATTACAAGCATGACTTGGTATGTTTTCTGCATGCTTTGTGACATGGCAGAGGAAAGGGGGAACAACAACTCATGCGAAACCAGCCCAAATCCATGCGAGCACCCATGCGATTATGCTACGCATGGACAGCGGCGGTTAACAACGACAAGCCAGCACGCCAAATCCATAGATCACTGCTGCAAACATGTGCTATCTGACCCAGCGATCAAGCTCTGGCTCTGGGGAAGTGTCGCAGGCGTTTTCGCGCCCCCAGCACCTGACTCCCACCCAAACGAACTGGCTGTTTAGAAAAGACGGGGGACTCTGGGATCATTCGTACGCCGCCATACCCCGAACAGTCAAGACGTCGGATGTCCGGGACCACCCCCTCGCTGGCGGCAGCCCTTGGCACGACCCCGCCGCGGTAGCCGCTGGCAGCGCGGCGGACGCGGCCGCGCTGGCGCGCGAGGGCGCGGCAGCCCTGGAGGGGCGCCTGCGGCTGTTCGAGGTGCGGTGCGCCGCCATGCTGGCGCGGCTCGAGGACTCCGCCGGGGGCCTCGCGGGCCGCCTCGCCCAGGCCGAAGCCGCGCTGCAGCGGCTCGGGGAGCTCCCCGCCGGCCCGCTCGCGGAGCGGCCCGTGGACGCCCGCGCGGGGTGCCCTTCGGTATCCGCCGCGGCGGCGGCGGACATCGGCTGGAGGTCCGCCGCCGAGCTGGACGTGAGGCTGCACGAGGTTTTTTCCTGCCTCCCACATGGGCGACTCCAAGAAACGCGTTCGTCTGCCCCAGCATTGGCGCATAAGCTGCCCGCGTAAGGTCGCGCGTAAGCGCCCCCGTCTCCAATGTAGCGTGCCGCGCTGGCAGCCCGAGTAGGCCGCCGCGTCAAGTCGCCATGTTGCATCGCGTAAGACCAGTTTCTTTTCGTCGCTCAGATGGGGTCCGAGTGGATGGGGCCAGAGGTTCGTGCCGCACCGCCGGTACATTGCCGATGCGTCTCGATGGAGAGCCCGATTTTCTCCGCGCTGGCGTCGCCGATGCACCGCCGACGTCGCCGATGCGGCGCGGTCCTCCGACGCCATCTACTCGTACCCCATTCAGGAGGCCTCTAGAGGTGGCGTGCGCCACGGAGCTCTGCGCCCAGAGCTGCCGAAGCCTGGCCGAGCGTGTCGCCTGGGTCGAGGGCGCCGTGAGCGAGGCGGCCGAGCGGGACGGGGAAGCCAGCAGGCACTTCCAGGACTGGCAGCTGTACGGCGTCGTGCGGGAAGCCCAGGAGGAGTTGCTGGCCGTGCAGCATGCCGAGCGTCGGCGGGACGCGAGGCTGGAGGATCACGAGGTGCGGCTGGCAAGCTTGGAGGCCAGCGTGGACGGGCAGGTGGCCAGGCGACTGCTCGTCGGGGAACAGATGTGCCAGGGCCCGCAGCTGAAGCCGAGCTCGGCCTCGGGGGCGCCGGAGTGCCACGGCGCGGCCGCCTCGGAGCCCCGCGGCAGCGAGGCTGCTGCTGGCGCAGCAGTGGGGCCCAGGGCGCCGCCGACGCCCTCCACTGCCTCGGAGCCCCGTGGCGACGAGCCCGGCGCTCGCGCTGGGGCCGCTCGGCGCGCGCCGGGTCGCTTCGCGGCGCTCCCGGCCGCTGTGCAGCTGCCCCCCGCCTCGGGGCTTTCTCCGGCGACCCCGATGAGCCCCACGCGCGCCGCCGACTGGGGCTCGGCCGCGCTCCTGCGCCTCGGCGTCCCCGCGGGCAGCCACGCTTCGCTCCAGAGCCCCGCCGCGCTGCAGATCGGGCCCGGGTCCACCGCCGCCGCCGCCTCCTCCGGCGGGAGCCCGGCGGCGGCGGCGGGTGCCCGGAGCTCCAGCGCCAGCCCGGGCGTGGCCAGCGGGTGCTCGCCGCTGAGCCCGGGCTCCCCGCAGAGGCACAGGGCCTTGGTGTCGCTGGTCGAGGGCGCGCTGAGGCAGGGCGGGCCGGGCGCGAGGCCGCTGAGCCCCTGAAAGGCGTGGCGTGGGCACGCACGCGCGCGAGTGGGCCCAGACGCCTCGCAGGAGGATGCTGCAGAGGAGGAGAGTGGGGAGGACGAGGGTGGGATGGTGGAGGCGGGCGAGGAGAAGTTGAGGGGTGGGGAGGGGGAGGAGGGAGAGTGGGATGGGGGAGGGAGGGCGGAGGGCTTTCATGAGGAGGAGCAGTCGGGAAACGAGCATCATCATCAAGCAGCGTTCATGATCATGCTGACGACGTACTGTACATGGCCCCTCTGTTGGATGATGTTCATTCCTCAAGAATGAAGACTAGTAATCGTTGACCCCACCCTCTGGAGCTCCTCATGTTTTTCATTGAAATGCCTCTCCGGGGGCTCGCACCGTGTTTTTTACAATGGAAAGTCCTCAGATTGTGTTTCTTGACCCACGGCTCCCGCCTGAGACCTCCTCGCAATGTGTTCAAATCGCATTCTCGCGCGGGGATCCCTCACACTTTATATCGGAATCGCGCTCTCGCGTGGCATGTCCTCGCACTGTATTGAGATGCCGCGCCTTCGATACTCAGGAAGCACGCTCTCGCTCTGGACTCCCTCACGGTTTACTTGGGAATCGCGCTTTCGCTCGAGATTTCCTGCGATTCATGCTGGACTGACGCTTCGGCGACCCCGCCCGCTCGACCTGGCAGTCTGGGCCCGCCCGCCCGACTCGCCTGTTAGGGTCCGCCCGCCCGACCCGCCTCTTAGCTTCTGCCGCCTGCACTCCTGCTCCTAACACCGCTCCTGCAAATCTCTCTCGCGCTCCATCCTTCTCCCTCCCCCTTGTGCCTTCCATCCTCTCCCCCTTCCCCTGTTTTAGGGGGTGCGTCAACTACGCGTGGCAGGTAAGGAAAATATGCCACCAAGGGGGGTGCGATCGAAGACGAGCATGGCGGGTATCGAGGGTCAGGATATACATGTTAAATGGCAAGCGAGCATTTGACAGCGAGCAGTAGAACACATGTGGTTGCTTTGTTGTCGATGATGATGTTGATGGTGATGGTGATGTTGATGTTGATGTTCATGATGGTGTCCATGGTGGTGCTGCTGCCGCTGATGATGATGTTGGTAATGGTGGTGGTGATGATGATGATGGTGCTGCTGCTGATTCTGATTATGCTGATGATGATGATGATGCTGATGATGCTGATTATGATAACGTTGATGATGTTGATGATGATGACGCTGAGGAAGAGGATTCCGATTATGTTGATGATGGATGATATTGTGGTGGTTCTGGTGATGATGATGCTGGTTCGGATGATGATGATAATGGTGATGATGAGGATGATGATGATGATAATGCTGATACTAGTGCTGTTACTGATGATGATGCTGATGACGATGCTGATGACGATGCTGCCGCTGATGATGATGATGATGATGATGATGATGATGATGATGATGATGACGATGATGCTGATGCTGATGATCTTGTTATTGGTGGTGGTGATGATAATGATGATGCTGACCATGCTTATGATTATGATGATGCTGATACTGATTATGATGCTGCTAATGATGCTGATGATGCTGATGATGATGATGATGATGATGATGATGCTGCTGACGATGATCGGAGCCCAGCCCGCAGGAGCACCTCGCCGTGTTCCTGGGGCGGACGGACTCCTCGCGGGGCCCGCACCCGACCGCCGGCGGGGCCGACGTGCGCGGGCGCCTCGGCGGTTGCGGGGGCGGCAGCGCCCGAGCGCTCCTCCCCGGTGCCGCGGCCCTGCCGGGAAACGCCGCCCTCCCCCCCGTGCTCCCCCCTCCGTTCTACTCAGTTTTTTTTCTCCTTGCGAACAGCTCCCCGAAGCCGGTCGAGAAGGCAGGCCAGGCGTTTCGCCCGAGGCTACCTTCTCCGCCGATGACCCTGAAGCATAAAAGTTGGCAACGGCTTCACAAATGGAGGGCGAGTGATTTTCAAAATGTGGCTCTCGCATTCGCGCCGCGCACAGTCATTTCGAACATATGCAAGAGCTTCGCGGATTGATGGCCTGTCGTTTTCAAAATGTGGCCCTCGCCTTAGCGCCGCGCTCAATTGTTTTAAACATGTGCGAGAGCTTCAAATATTGATAACGGGTCGTTTTCAAGATGTGGTTCTCGCCTTAGCGGCGCGCACATCCGTGTCACACATTTGCAAGAGTTTCACGGATTTAGGGCGGACCGTTTTCAAAATGTGGCTCTCGCTTCAGCGCCGCGCGCCTTCGTTTTCAACAGATGTGCGAGAGTTTCACGGTTTAAGAGTGGTTCTTTTTCAACATGTGGTTCTCGCTATAGCGCCGCGCACATTCACTTTGAATAATTGCCAGAGTTTCGTGAATTCACATGGTCAGCGGAGCAGAGATGTTGTTTTGGAGCGATTCAGGAGTGTCAAGGCGCAGCAGTTACGTTATTTCGCGGTGTTGGCGTGCCAGGAATCGTGTTCTGGCACGGTTCAGGATCGTCACGCATCAGTCAGCTTGATTCGTGGAGTTGGTGTCCCGAGAATGGTGTTTTGGCACGCTTCAGCATCTTCAAACGATTGCCTCCAAAGGGGCGCTTCTCTCCGAGGAAGGATCCCTGTAGGGGCCTATGAGGGGGAGCTTGGAGGGAGGGTTTATTCCAGCATCGTTGAGGATTCTTGGGTTTACACTGGTCCCTCCCCCCCCCCTCCTCCTCCTCCTCCTCCTCCTCCTCCTCCTCCTCCTCCTCCTCCTCCTCCTCCTCCTCCTCGTCCTCCTCCTCCCAGCTGCGCGGTGTGGCGACGACTCTCCGCCTTCTCGGCGCAGCTTCGGGCTCTCAAGCGAGCGCCGCAGCTCCCACGCCGGATTCTGACTAACCGCTCATTGTTTACCTCCCGGGCCTCGTCCTGCAGCTTGGGTGTACGTGGGCTGCGGCGTGACGTTGATGGCACACAAATTCTCTTCCTCCTCCTTGCTTCCTTCCTCTCTCCCTCCTTCCTTCCCTCCGGTAGCGTTTTGTTTCGCGCGTTTCTTGTCGTTCGCTTTCTTTTCGCTCGCCGTTTTGTCTCTCGCTTCGTTCTCGCTCGAATTTCTGTCGCTCGAAATTGTTTTCGCTCTCTTTTGTTTCGCTCATTTTTTTCCCGCGAATTGTTTTTCGCTTGGTTTTGTTTCGCTCACTTGTTTGTCGCTGGTACTTTTTTGCTAGCGTTCGTTTCGCTCGGTCTTTTCTCGCTTGGTTTTTGCTCCAATTGCGCTGGTGGGCCCGACCGAATTAAGCCCGAGCGAGTTCAAACCGAGCGAATTCAAACCGAGCGAATTTAACCGAGCGAACTCAAACCCGAGCGAATTGAAACCCTTGCGAATTTAAGCCGAGCAAATCTAACCTGAGCGAATTTAGTCCGAGCGAGCGAATTTAGACCGAGCGAGAATACACCCGAGCGAATGTAAACCCGAGCGAATTAAAACCCGAGCGAATGAAAACCGAACGAGCTTAGATCCGAGTGGATGTAAACCCGGGCGAATTAAAGCCCGAGCGAATTAAAACCAGGTCGTATCTAAACCGAGCGAATTCAAAACCGAACGAATTAAAACCCGAACATAATTAAGTTCGACCGGCTGTTCTCACTAGCGATTTGGAAGCTTATCGATCTTCAATTTCAGCCAGTTCCAAGTCGTGCGAATTACCGACATTCCTGTTGTTTGTTTCTTTTTTGTCTCTCAGCATGCTCTCCCCCGACGGAATTGCTTTCCTGATTTTGTTTTTTTCTTGTTCATCCCCTACATCATGACCACACACACGCTTTTCTTCATATCTCTCAGAGCGTTTCTCCTTGCATTTGGCTTGGCTTTTGCTCCTCCGGACACGCCGGCCTGGAACCTATGCGCACCCGCACTGACTGGCATCATCGCCAGCAGCATCACCAACTTCTCCATCATGCTCCAATGTCCACTTCCATCACCATAATGTTCATCATCACCATCGTCAGTTCACGTGTTCGCCATCATCACCCGTCCCACACTCCCTGCACTCCATCACTCGCTCCATGCCGCACACACCACATCATTATCTTCATCACCTTCTTCATCAACATGTCCCTTTTCATCATCACCCACACCATCCACCTCGTCATCGCCGTGAGCACCACTCACGCACTGACCATACACGACCGCCCATTCACTCTATCACTCACGCACCACCTTCGGTGGCGTTTTGCTTCGCTCGCTGTTTGTTTCGCCCGCTTTCTTTTCGCTCGCTTTTGTTTCGCTCGGTGTTGTTTCGCTCGAATTTGTTGTCGGTCGAAGTTGGTTTCGTTCGCTTTATTTGCGCTGGGTTTTGTTTTGCTTGAGTTGTTGTTCGCTCGGTTTCGTTTCTCTCGTTGTTTTTCGCTCGGTTTCGTTCCGCTCGGTTTCGTCTCGCCTGGTTTTCACTGCGGTTGCGTGGCTGTTCTAGAGCGGATTATACGAGCGATTGCAGATCCGAGCGAATTTAACCCCGAGCGGATTTAAATTCGAGCGAGGTCAAAACCCGAACGCAATTAAATTGGAGATAGTTCAAACGCGAGCGCATGTAAATTCGAGCGAATCCATACCCGAGCGATTTAGTCCCGATCGAACTTAATCCCGAGCGAAATTAAACCCCAACGACTTTAAATTCGCGCGAATTTAAGTTCGAGCGAATGTACATTCGAGCGACTTTAAATCAGAGCGAGTTTAGGCTCGAGCGAATTTCAACTCGAACGAATTGACAGTCGAGCGAATTCAAATGCGATCGAACAGGCCCGCTCTGGCAGATGCCCGTTCCGGCATGCCCGCTCCGGCAGAGTCCCAACGCGCCCTTCAGCAGTCCACTGGCGCAGGTTGAACACACCCCTCTACTGCACAGCCTCCGTCTCCAACGCAGCACCCTGCTCCACAGCCTTCGTTTCCAACACGGCACCCCGTACACACAGTCCCCCCCAAGTGTAACCAACAAGTACAAAAAAACACTTCTCCATTCCACACCATAATTACTTCAATGTCCCGCTCATCATTACCATTACCAGCAACATCACCCCCACACTCATACACACTCACACACTCACACAGTCACAAACTCATA